TCTGTCTGTCTGTCTGTCTGTCTGTCTGTCTGTCTGTCTGTCTGTCTGTCTGTCTGTCTGTCTGTCTGTCTGTCTGTCTGTCTGTCTGTCTGTCTGTCTGTCTGTCTGTCTGTCTGTCTGTCTGTCTGTCTGTCTGTCTGTCTGTCTGTCTATCGGTCGGTCGGTCCGTCCGTTCATCTATCATCTATTGTATGCCATATACATGCAAAATAAGGCAATTTAATACAAGAATAAGACATTTGACACTACTTCATGTGTACATACAGAACTAAACATAACAATAAGAAGATCTGACAGTGTGAGATACACTTTATGTTACCATAAACCGTTTTCGTCAAAATACTAGTTATGACACTACTGTTACTACAAATGAAGCGTAGAGTTCACATTAACATCCAAACGCATCAAACAGCAAACCAAATGGCATAATTCATTCTGAAAATTCGTTTGAACGAGATCCCATATTCGCTTGCTGTGGTTCTGCAGTAGTTACTTCAGTACTTCGGCGGTTACCATGGTATTTTATTGTGAGAGGCACCGGACCGAGTGACTGCAGCAGTGTGTTGTTCAGTTCGTTCATACCTCCCACTCCTCCAGCAGTCTGGCCATATCCGCCTCATTATAATCCCGTATGTCCTTCTTCTTCTTCGGTTTAGTGTCTGTACAATGAACCGATGTGAATAATATGAGACAAAACAATACTGATGCAGTCCTGCAGCTGACGGGTGACGCCATCTTTAAACCTGGAGCTCGCTGATTGGTTGAAATCTTTCCGCTGGGCACGGGTTTAAGGAAGGGGGCGTGTCGACGTGATCACGTGTTCTACTTCTCGGAGGTTTTTAAGTTTATTTGTTGCACAATCATATTAAATCATTACATTACGAAAATAAACACAAAGTGTAATAATATAAACATGACGCATCAAATGCAAAATAATGCAAAAGAAGAATTTCTGATGCAATGCATGTTTTTGGTTATTTCCTACCTTGCAAGAAAAGATGTATGGGGGGCCAAACACACAATATAAAGAAAGTTATTGAGTGTGCATGGTAAATAAACACCACATTTGAAAAGCTTTAGTGGTTTTTGCTTCAGTTTCAGTTTTTGCATCTCTGAAATAGGTTAGTTTCAATGCATATCTTGAGCTCAGTATAACTGGTAGATGTGCAATACACTTACATAATAAAATAACAACATGTACTAACATAACAACTCTATTTTTGAAAGCTGTTTCAAATGATCTACAATTAATTAACATTTAGGGGGAAAATGCTGACATGCACAATAGCCTAATACAAGACTTTTATGCTTGACTGATTATTCTGAAGAAAATTAAAAGTACTCTTGTTTAATTAATTTACCTATATATATATATGTGTGTGTGTGTGTGTGTGTGTGTGTGTGTGTGTGTGTGTGTTATTATTATTATTATTATT